GTTTCGTTTATTTTCATTTGTTTCATTTGTTACAAGGTGGAACAGAGCATTTTGAGCTTTGGAGATGTAGACAGACTAACAATGCAGGAGTACTCAACAAAACACAACTCCAGGTATGTTTTTGAAGAGGGAACGACCTTCTAACATGGCTAATACAAAAATTTGAACAACCCTGAAGTCACTTGTCACTATTGTAAATGACAGCAGTACCACAATGATCAATGTCAATGCCTCATCTTAAAAGTTTAATTTCATAATTTATAAGCAAAAGAAATCCAAATTATTTCACTAAGGATGGTTTATGCTGCTGCCCGGAAGTGTATTAAAACATGCGCCGTTTCCTCCGGATACACCTGACCAATATGTATGGCTCAAGACGGGTGCCAGCATATCATACGCTGTGCTTGCCTATTGCTTTTGACAGGGCAATTAAGTTTACCTACAGCAGTCAGCTCTTGTTTCTGCAGCTCTGCATAGGAGACCTCGCAAAAGCTGTTTGCGTAACTATAGCTGGGTTTCAGATGACAGCAGATTATTCTATAGGTCAATAATATTTAATACAGATGGGGGCAGCTTAAATGGATTTTGTTCTTTTTGATTTATGTTGTTGTTGTTGTGATAAAAGAAATGAATGGACCTGACTGATGCTGATAAACTTTGTCAGTATTTTGGGCAGATATGCAGGGGACATTTGGATTATTTTCTTAAAACCTTTAAAAAGCTTTGTACTCATGATTTGTGTATTTATTTTTTGTATTAAAGCGTTCAAATAAAGCTTTATGTTTATACTTTAGGCAACGTGTCAGCCAAAACAAAATATCGGCTTCTGCTGGAGATTTAAAATACTTATGACAGGTTGTACTAGTACAAGTGCTCATTTGACTAAAACACACTTTAGATCATTTTGTCCAGTTTGGCCATTTTTTAGGTGTTAAATTTTACTTTCTGGTTGGAAATCATGATATCACACTAGGGGATTTCATGTCTGATACCTACCAATAATGTACACAGACATTACTATTTGAAAAATACAAATATAAGAAACACCTTTATTTTGTTGAAATAATGTTTAAAAAAGGTTCCACGCTCTCTAGGTCTAAGAAAAATTGTATTTACCATTTACACATCCGAAATTGTGTTGACCATAAAAATGTAAATTACCCAAAGGTCCCATTACATAAGCACATGAATAGCCCTGCTGCCAGAGGAGGCATATCAATCCTATATAATAAATTATCCCAATTTAATGGCCATAAAACTTTGCAACACTTAAATAAAGCCTTAATCTTCTATAATCTGAAAACCATCTTGATGATGAGTAAATATTATTTCTACATTTTTCTCTTAAATCACTGGATCTGTACCGCCTCTATATAAAACAGTAGATTAACACAATAAAACATCCTATTTGTATTGTCAAAAGTCTAACATAAGCTAATCTTTGGAGTCAGCTGAACTCTTCTTCCTTTTTTCTCTCTCTAACCTTTTCTGACCATGACTGTGAGTGGCATGTTCTCTGCCTCAGGTAAAAGACACCGTGGCCCAGTGGCCAGCATTAGGAATGCAGAGAGTTGAGAAATACACTTTATTTTCAAACTTGTGTGGCAGTGGCTTGAATACAAATCAGAGAGGTGTCTGTTCTGATGTGAACTGCTCTTTACTTATTGATCCACACAGCTCCTCATGAGAGGGCCCAACAGACCCGTCCAGCAGACAGGTCTCAGGAATAATAACTGCACAGAAAGGCTTTAATAGTGCGATATGAAAAACTCTAGGCAAGCACATACTCCAGTGGTGTCAGCCGTCCGCCTCCTGAAGTGCAGAGCAGGTACTACTAACTACCAACCTTACTAACCAAAATTATTAAAATGAAAACGAGTTAAATCCTTTTTTTGGGCACTGTACATTTCTCTGTCTGTTAAAAACATTAAGCATGTGTTTGTTGTTATTCTCACATCAGAATTTTATTGCACGTTTCCAGATGGTCTTGCTAAAAAGTTCACCCCGATACCAGGTGGTGTAGTCTATTAAAGGACCCATATTACGATTTGTTCTGATTTATGTTATAAAGCTGTGTCCTCATCACAAACATACCAGGAGTTGTGTTTTGTTTAATTCACACATTCACCTTGTGATGTCGTGTGGTAATACAGGAAATGCTCCATACACCTTCACTAGAATCATTTGGATCATTTCAGCCTTGGAATTATAGACTGTATAAAAAATTGACTAAGCGAGTGTGACGTCACCATAGTGTTCAGCTCCACTCAAATGAAGCTCATGATGCTAATGGTTATAGGGAGCCAGGCTCTATATTATGAATAGATCATGATCATGTAGAGCAGTCAGTACGAACTTGAGGCTCACAGCAGCTGTTACAGAGAGACGGACCATAATATTCCAATGGCAATGAGAGCCAGAGTCAGTAGGAGCCAGAAGAGCCACATACGAACATCCTATTTGGAACGTGGCAGCTGATGTTTATTTATATATACAGTCTATGCCTGGAATTGCCCAATTCTACTGAGCTAAAGACAGCGTAATAATAAAAGGTTACTCAAACATGTGTGAATGAAGCAAAACATAACTCCAGGTATGTTTTAGGAGGCAGCAACATTTTAGCAAGGTTTAAAGCTCACAAGAGTCAATTTTGTGTATTATACGACCTTTAATAAATGTAAATTAATAAATGTGTGCAATAAAGAAATTCTGTGCTGTGCTAGCCCCACATTGCCAGCTCAGTCCTCGTTTTAGTCTTTTCCTGACCCGTGTCATCAGAGGTATAATACTCTTTATAACAAAAGAATAGCCAGACTGGACTGGACTAGACTGGACAACACTATCAGACTCTCTTGAAAGTTTATGTCTGTGTACTGATGGCAAATAAACTTCTCCTGCATTAAAACAGTCTCTTCTCTTCAACACTCGGGCTACTACAATTTATTCTACAACACTCCCTATAATGGAAGCAAAGCAAACTGAACTACAGTGTATACTAGATCTGATTCAGTCAAATACAAGTAAAAAGGAGATTAAAACGCAATATATGCATGGTATCTGGAGGTTAGAGGAGAGAGGGTGATGCCATCACTGTGGTCATGCCATTGCTTCAACTTCAGATAATGAGTCCTTACTTTTTTTTCTGTATTCTGTCTGCCTTTGAGATAAAAGGTACTTGATGACTTCTTGAGAAAATGGCTTTACATTTTGTAAAGGAAAGACATCGTAGTAAGCACACTTCAGTAGATGTGCTCTGCCGCTGGGACTGTGCTGTTTAAAACATACAATGGCTCCACAACGTTTTACAGGAAAGGATAAAATAGATATAATAACAAAAATGTCATATATATAGAGGTCGCAGAGGTCAGGTACACAATCTTAATCCTAGAAACTGTATACAGCTTGCTTGTTAGTTCTTGTATAGACATTTAACCTATACTGCAAACACAATTAACCTTCACTATTCAAAAAACATTTCAAATTAGCTTACTGCAAAGTGGTGAAAAGCTCCAATCGCCCCAAGTCACTGTTGCTTTTTAAACTCGTGTATTTGGGGGGGTGTACATGCCAGGGCCTATAATTGATCGAGGATAAGTGACAAGCCCAAAGGTTGTGTTGGATGGACTCTGCTGTTCCCTGCGCATCAACAGTCTCCACACACACACACACACACCCACACCCACACAAACACACACTCGTCTTACAGGGTGTAGCTACATTAAAGTGCAGGGCGAGAGGCGGCAAATTGGGAGAGGAAACAACCCGCTGGTAACTGCAGAGAAGAAGAAGGCTCAACAGTTTAATTCTCAGTGATAAGTCATTTTACTGCCATGTTGGACAAAGGATGATAATGTGGGACTGTATCCAACTGGGCTTCAGTCCTGAAACGTCTGTTGGGCTTTGTTATGCTGTGGAAACTTTGGTAGAAAAAATTAACCAAAACATTTTGAAAGAATTGGCCAGAGCTCTGAGATTCATGTCCTGAAAATGCCAATGCTGAGAACTGACAATAACAAATCCCTGTTTCTTCACTGATCCTTTATGAGTCAGTACAGCATTAGCTCAATTCATTTATGTTGTTACTCTAGCCTGTGAATCTTCTCACTATTTCTTTCAAAAAAACACTATTTTATATTGCTTGCTGAAGTAAGACAGGAAGGTCAATACTTTGTTTGGCAGTAATATTCTATATATTATAATAGTAATATTATATAAGTATAATTGTTAGGCTTACAGTTAGAGTTTCGGCTTTTGTTTTTAAAAAGTTGGTGTCTGACATCGAAAAGCCTATTATATTTTTCAACAAAGAGAAACTAAAATTAAAACTTAGTTTATCATGAGTCATTTTTTGAGTTTGTGGATGTGATGGCTGCTATCTTTTTAACTAACTTATTGTGAAATGACAGTGAAGGTTATTTTGACACCACATGTGTCTTTCCTGTGTTTCTACTGCATAGAGTGAATGCGCCCTAAGCCATTTGTAGCAACAATAGCTAATAATAACAACAACTCCCCTGACAATAGCAGAAAGTAATGTAATCATGTGAGCAAGGGATTTAGGAGAGTTCACTGCAGTAGCAGATTCTTCTCCCTTTTTGATTTTCTCTGCTGAAGTCCACGCCATAGAAATAGTCTCCCTGTCATTGTCTGCCAACTTAAAACCCACCAATCTGTTCAGTCGGCCAACTTCGCCCCTGTGTAATCCTCACAAAATTGTTTCTCTGCACCAATGACAGAGTAGATGAGCCTCGAAACCACATAAACACATACTTTAGCACTGACATTGTTAACAAGGGATGAAAATAGCACTGATGGGTTAATTGGATGTTCCAACACTTCCATCTCCATATTGTTTACTTGTACTGAATGAAAAAACACCAGAGCTCAACAATATACTGAACAGATGTGCGCAAATAGCCAGGAGGTACAGCTAATGAGTTCTTTACCTGCTAATTGAACTGGCCACCGGCACTATGAGCATTTTTCTTTTCTTTTTTTACCTTTCTTTTAGCCTGGAGCTGTCCATGGTAGTTGTCAGATGAATCACCAGGAATCTCCCCTCCCCACAGTGTCACACCCACGATAGTGTAGGTGATGGCCATGATCACTAGGGGCAGCGCATACACCAGCACCATCAAAATGATATGAAACCTGTGAAGAGGTGAGAGGTCACATCATTTTCTCATGAGCGCAGCAGCAACTGTGATGAGCCGCATAACTATACAGATACTGTGGGGGAGAGGTGTCATGAGATTATAAGATGTTAGCACTATATTAGGTATAAGTCAATTTCCTCTAGATAACATGAAAGTTATATAGTTCTTTTCAAGACCCCAAAAGACAGAGGTAGACTTCAGCAGCTATGTGCACTTTTTCATGTAAAATCAATATGAAAACTAATATTCACTCCCTTTCAGATGACATTTATTTTGGATGTTACAGCCTCGAGCCTTTAGTTATTTCCCATCTTGTCAAATGTTTGTGGAGCTCTGTGTGGCTGAAGTTTGCCTGTGTCCTCTGATTCTGAGAGCCCTTGCCAGAGATTGGAGGACTGATTGACGGCTGCTTCTGATTGGTGGGGCATGTCTACGGCTGGCCAATCACGTACAACCTCCACTATTTAAACAACATTATATCATGAGCAGGATATAGCACAATTCTGACATATTATGCTATATTCAGATCATGCTATAATGTTGTTTCCTCATCAAAAACATCCAGAGTTGTGTTTTGTTTCATTTACAAATGTTTATCAAACAAACTCAGCATATTTAAGCTGAATTCTTCTCTCATACAGAAAACACCTTGTCATGCCACGTGGTATTACAGGAAGTGCTCCACTGTGTTTTTAAATTTCACACACCTTCACTAGAATCATTTGGAACATTTCTGCTCTGAAAGTGTCGATCTCTACTGACTTTAAGGTAAAAGGTAGATGTTAACTTAAAAACCGCCACTACATGACATCACAAGGTGGAGTTTTGGAGATGCAGACAAACTAATGGTTTTTCAACATGTGTGACTGAAACAAAACACAACTCCAGGTATTTTTTTGAGGAGGAAAAACATTCCCACATGGCTTAAAGCTCACAAAAGTCAGTTTTGGAAGATTTACACTTGCATTTTTAATTCTGTTAAGATTAAATGTAAATCACCATATGGTATTTTTTTAGTCTATAGAGGGAATCGGTGCACACACTTTTGCACTAGCTGTAATTGCACCATAAGCCCAAGAGAAAGTCTCTCTGTTGCCACAAAGTTATTTATTAAGATTTTTTATAGACATTCTGCAGATGTTACATGAAAAAATCTTTATTCTTACATGAAGGCGTCATTAGCGCTGCGGGGCCAGGCCACTTGGCACAGTGTCCGATTACGTATGGTGAAGGTAGTGGAGTAGTAACAAAGAGGGAAGGCCAGAGCCATAGCCAGACACCAGATCACCAGTATAATACATGTGGTGGCTTTGGCCGAGAGGCGAGGTTTCAGAGGGTGGATGATCGCCATGTACCTGCAAACACAACAACACAGACACCATTCATTACAAGGGATGCACTGATCCAATACTGGTACCAGCGCTGATACTGAAAAGTTTGATGGAGCGGATATTGGCTTCCAAATATCAGTTCAGCCGATATCTTGGTTGTGCATATGAATTGATGTTATAATAACACTACTATTTACAGGTTGTAGTCAGCCCAGAAAGTCTCAGTGTTTATGGAGAGTTGTTATTTGAGAGACAAATAACTGCAAAACACATTTGGATCAGTTCTGTCTTATTGTATTTTCATTTGAAGGACATAAATGCTTTTTCAGTCTTTCAATCAGTCTCTGCGCTGGTATCAGTTAATATAGGGTCTTGTCAGATACTTTAAAGGTAGCTGAAAACTACCGCTTCATGACATCACAAAGTGGGATAGAGCATTTTGAGCTTTGCAGATGTAGTTAGATTAATAATAAAGTGTTACTCAATGTGTGAATGAAACGAAACATAACTCAGGTTTGTTTTTGATGGAGTAACAACATTCTAACATGACTTTATGTTAACCCGACCTTCGATTTTTTTTTCCCACCGGCTTAGAAATAGCACAAAAGACTATTTAAATAACCATTTAGAAGGTTGAAATAAGACACTGCATGTTGTATGGGCAGATAATTTGTTGGAATCCACATGGAAAAAATATGTTTCAGGAATCTCTTTCATAAGTATGTGAGAGCTGTTCATGGACACATATATCAGACATGTCAGAGTGCTTGTTTAAGGCTGCAGCTGATCATGCCTGTGGTCTGAAGCAATAACATTAAACATGAGGCTTGATAGGTCCTCCCATTGATTTCCATTGATCTCCTATAAAGAGAAGGACAGCCTCCCACAGACCGCTCAGCTCTAATGTAAGTGGGTGAAAGCCAAGCATGCAAAACATTTCTTTAAGGTCCACCGTTCTGAGTGCATGTAAGCAGTTTGTATCATGTTCTGTCAGGTCTTGTTTGTACCATTCACAATACTTAACTGGAACTTTTTAACAATGATAGAGAAAAATGTGCAGATGATAAATTTGTGAATACGCTATTTCAGTTTTACGGCACTTTTACGGTACTGTTTCCAATTGAATTCCTCCAAAAGGTTTAATGGATTTTTTTAGTGCTCCACAGAGAATGGCTCTGGTTGGAAGCCGTGCACTGCAGTAATGGAAAGTTTAGAACAAGGATCTCCACAAATCAATAGTAGCCTTATAAAGATAACTAAGTTCCAATTCTTCATGCAGTACAGGTTCTGCAGAATGCAACCGGATAGTGTTGGACACTGCAGACCTGTTTATAAAAAAACAACTGAAACACAGTAAAAAGAGGCAGAGGGATTAGGGGACACAGATAAATGAGATGTAGTGAGATAAACTTTAGCCAGATGTCAGCAATGCATTCAAAGAAGAAAATATTAATTTAGCCAGGCAAGAGGAGGACATGGAAATGCTGCAGTGGTAATGATAGGAAGAGGTTTGCAGCATAAAGCTGATACAGCAGAACTGTGCCACACTTATATAATAATATAATAATAATACATTTATCTTTTATATAGAGCGCTTCAATTCTATTGTGGCAAACTGTACTGTAGCCACAGCTGTCCTGGGGACTGACACAAGTGAGGCTGCCAATATGTGCAATCGGCCCCTTTGACCAACACCCACCACACACCCTCACACATGAGTGTATGTGTGTAACTGTGTGTGGGGGTGGGGGGGTGTGTGTCTGTGTGTGTGTCTGTGTGGTGTGACGGTGATTGATGGTTAGAGATTTTGCACAGATTGGCAGCCACACTTTCATCTGTGGGATATGGGAATTTTGGGAATAATGCAAGTATACAATTTTGGTGTCTTGAAAAGCACAACAGAATATTAAATATTTTTATGAATTCACAGTTTTACACTTTCACCAGTTTACATCTGTGCAAATTATTCTGCACCTGCCTCTCCAATCACCACCGGAGTCACAATTTGACAAGAAAATGGGTGAAGTGTCTTGCTGAAGATCATGACGGCAGTATGCTTATCAGTAACTAGGGATGTAACAATAATCGATGATAACGTATTGTCAAAAGTCTCACAATAATACTGTGAACCATCACAGTTTATTAAATTACAAGTCTCTTTGATTAAATGCATTGTCTTGGTAACCTGGGTCATGCCAGATTGATAAGTGTATCACTCTGAATTTATTTCTACACTTTATCCACCTGGAACAGCTCTTGCTGAAAGCGTTCAGAAAAACCAGGGACTGAGGGCAGAATGCCTTGAGCTGATTGAGCGAACCACCCACCCAACCTGTCAAAATGACGTATCCAACTTGCACCAGGTAAAACCAAAATAAATGTCATGCTGTAGAGGGAAGATGTCAATAAACAATTTTTGCCATTTTAGCAAAGCAAATTAGCACATCAAGGACATTATAAGCCACCATCAACATCCTTAGATGCCACCATGTTTGTTTTGCTCAGTGTAGGTCTTGTGCTTGGGTTTGTCATCATGTTGTCTGAAACACCTCCTCATGAAGACATAACCATTATTAAGCTATTTTAAATCTTAGTTCATTGGATTAAGACAGAATTAAAGGTTTGACAAGGCATTTTAAAAGGAAAAGTAGCTTATTCACACTTTTGTAGCCTCTAAAAGATATAGCAATAAATATTGTATCGAGAGATATGGATATCGTTACATCCCTATCAGTCAGTGGCGTTGGACTGGTGGGGGGTAAATGGTGTTGTTTCCCCAGGACCCAGAGCAGGGAGGGGGTCTTTATAAAATCTGTAATATGCAGTTTTCATATATTGGGCCCACCAAGATGATTTGTATCTCGGGCTCGGACTTTTGTTCTATACCCCTGCTACAATAGTGACAGGACCAGACTCAGGGGCAGCACTGTTCATCTCCCATTTTCAAAGGACATTCATTCTTGACTAAAAATGTTCAAATGTCAACCACAGAGAGTTAAATTATACATAATAAAACAATAATTGTTAGGTTTTCATAAATTACTACAGGGTGCAAACTACATTTAGACATGGTAGAGGGGTGGGGATGCACTCACTTCCATAAAATGCTCTAAATTAACATGTTAAATGTGCACCGTCATTGAAGAACTTAGCACCCCCATAGCTTGTCCAACCAAAAATGTCTAGCGCAGCCTGAGCCTTCACTCAAGGCCAAAGAAAAGTAAAAAATCACTTTTGCCACGACTTAACACAAGTCCATAAGTAAGTCCTCTATTCATCATATTCTGAAACTCTCCACCTCCCCATTGAATAAGAATCTGCTCCGATGTGTCTCTGTTCTGCGCTAATTGTGTGGCATTTACCCCCAGCCTCATCAGTCCTACAAATGGCAGCTTGTGAATAGTTCGTTTCAGACTCAATCACAGTGAGGCGTGCACTATCCATCACACGCACACACATGCACACATACACACGTCTGAATCCAACAATAGTGTAATAAAGATTGATTAGGTTCAGCCAGATCTTATACAGTCCCATTTCCATTCTGCTTCCCTGATCCCAAAGCACAGAGGTGTCAGTCTGGATCATATTTTGTTTCCCTTACTTTAAAAAGCCGGTATTTGTTTTGGTGTCAAAGATATAATTGCTATTTAAGTACATGAAAACATAATTACCCCTGTGAGTTCTTTCATTATGGGCTTATCATATTTTAATCTGCGGATAACAAACAAAACACATAGTAAGAAGCTTTGTGGAGATAAATAGACCTACAGTTGAGTTCCTGGCAGCATGAGTGGAGTTAAAATAGTATCGTTTTCCTTTTCTTTCATCCTGTTCTTTTCTCATTTGAATATAGAAGGGAGAAAGATGACTGTTTTCAACTTGTATCAAGAGTTTACTTAGGATTCAGAATACAGATTTCCTCAATATTTTACAAAGATGTGAGTCTGATCACTGTTGAGTCCACATAGCTATGATTTGGACATTGGATATGTTTACTACACCACATTTAGGAATTACACTGCAAAAGGTAATATTAAGTTAAATTAAGAACAAACATAGAGCTCTGTGGCCTTTGCATGTCTATTTGTCATTTTGATTGTGACTGCTCTTGCAATGTTATTATTTGTGACATGATTTCTTTTTTATAGGTTGCATGTTTAAAATAAATACATTCATTAATTCATCATTTTACTTTATTTGAGTAGGTTCCAATTGACAAGTTCAATTTTCTACCAATGAAATAAGTGTTTCTAAATTTATTTATTTTTCTTATTTTAAGTGCAAAGATTTGTTGTTTTTCTTATCTTAAAGGGACAGTTTGGAATTTTAGACACAGGACTTAATTTCCTAGTTAGGCAGAGTGTTGGAGATGTGCGGAGACTCTTTTTTAACTATTCCATCCAGTCCTTGTATTTGCAGAGGCCGCTGGTGCTAGGCTAGTGCATGTCAATGGCCATAGTTAGCCTGCCACTAATATCAGTCTTACTCACTCCAGAAAGCACCTGAAGCAAAACAATTATTACACCAGACTGTTGTTGTGAATGTCTGTGTTAATAGAATCATTTTAGAAGTAAAACCAACCTTGCGTTTGAAGGATTTATGTCTGAGCAGCAGCAGAGAGTTGTACTTCCTGATAGAACGCTTAGCAGTAGCGGACTGATATATGAGAAAATAGTCCCTCAACATGCAACAATTCATGCGATGCAATGTTAGTTTTAGTTCAAATCTTATTCTATCAACACAGACATTTATATCGACAGTCTGGTGTAATAATAGATTTGCTTCGGGTGTTTTGTGGAGTGGGTAAGACTGTTTTTAGTGGCAGGATAACTATGGCCATTGACATGCACTAGCCTAGCACCAGCGACCTCTGCAAATACAAGGACTGGATGGAATATTTTTAGAAAGTGTCTCCATATGTCTCCAACACATGAGTTCCTATGTCCAAAATTTTAAACTGTCCCTTTAAGTGTAGTGAGATGTATTTTCATATTTTCAGTACAAAAAAATCAGGTTCCATT